AGAACAGAGAAAAGAACAAATGAGATAGAGAGAGAGAGAGAGGAGTCGCATGGAGTAGAACAGATAGGAAATGTGAGGTAGAAAGAGAAGGAGGGAGAAAGAGAAGGTGACAGAAAACGAGGAGCTCTTGGAGGGAAGAGATAAGGTGGAGGTAGAGGTAGAGTACAGTAAAAAAGACAAATGAGTCGTCAACATTAGAAATTTATATAATATAATAAATATAACGATTTCTAATACTTGTGTACGTACCATCAAAAATATTAGATAATTTGAAAAAGCCGTTGAAAAAACGAAATACCGCCTTTTCCGTCGTATTTCATTCAATGCCGATGTTGGCTTTTTTTTTTTTTGGCATTTTCGTGTTGGTTATATTACGCACAACCAGCCGGTCCATGTATTGTTATTTGTAATTGAACAATTAACTAACAGTCAACATATTATTTTAAAAAGTGGAGCTGAAATGGTATGATCGTATTGGCTAAATTTCACACATGTTGGGGTCTAAAATTACCTTCATAGCAATTTTAAGTTCTAAAAGGGCAATAGAAATGTTATAGATAAGAAAAGGAGCAATAACCATGCACTTTGAAGGCATTTGCCTTCTGAAAATAGAACTGAACTATCCCTTTAATACTGCCTATAGTAGGTCTGAATTTAAAAGGTATTATAGGAGGCAAAAACGAAGTAGTATAGCAAAGATTCTAGAGACGTACAAGGAGAGTGAATTTGAGAAGAAAAGAAAAATAGAATGAAGAGTAAAGAAAATAATATGATAATGAAAAGAAGGAGAAGGTGAAGAAGGGAAGAAAGAAGAAGAAGAGGCAGTAGAAGAAGAGAAAACAAATTGATGTAATCAATGGCATTGTTAAATAACAAAAACAAAGTCTGTATAGAGTATAGAAGCTGTGACATCATACAAATCAATTTTTAAAATTCTCAATTTTGTCTTCACTTTCTAAAAGAGCATAACAAATAATGTCCGGATGTCGATAACCAATTGAATATATTAAGTGTTGGCTGAGATATGACCATCCGAATAAATATATGTCCTATGTTAACTCAGTGTTATAGTGCTCTGGTTCATATCACTGGGAACAAGAGCACTATAACACTGAGTAAGTAAGTAAGCAAACAGGGAACCGACGACTTTAAATCCCCTCCGAGGGACTAGGTAAGGAAACTAATACAATGCCATAGAACCCGGGACTTCCCGATTACGAGAACACTGCGCTACCTCAATTAAAGGAGAAATTGAGGAGAAAGTAGAAGTATAACGTGTTACGTTTTACAAATGATCTAAATGTACGTGTTCACACGGTATACAATACAAATCGCACCACACACAAAGGAATTATATTCAATACAATTAATTTCGATTTAAATGATTTCATTTCTATAACTCAATCAGAACATGGAAAAAATGCTTCAAAAAAAAAATGATTATCAAATGACATTTGCAACAAGGCAAAGAAAATTAAACTTACTTCTAATTATATACAATCTTAAATGTCGACAAGTAATCAAATTATTTTTAGGATACAAATTATGTTAGCGTATCATGAAGGAAGTTGAGGTTAAAGCCCCACAGCACTAGATATAGCTAATTGCGCCCTCTATATAGTAAACAATGCCTAATCGGTGACCATTGGTCCCAATGATCCTCTCTTTATTATGTTAATTGAGAGCTGAAATGATGAGTTAATCATCTGTCCAGTGACCTTGCAGGGTGGTCTAATCTCTCCTGTAAACTAGTACAAATGAGCTTTAAATGGAAATGAGAAAATCTACTAAAAAACATAACTTACATTTATATGGATTACTCAAGTAAGGAAAAAAAGGTAAGGAAGGAAGAAATAAATAAGTAGAAATGGAAGAAGAAAAAAAAAGTGGTCTAAAAAAAGAAGTAAAAAGGAAAACCTTATAAAAAAAATGTTAGTTTATACGATTAGTTACTATGAAGTTAATTATAATTAATATCAGCTTGGGTATATTTTATAAGTAACAATAATTTTGTTAGGCTTTATACGATGATAACAGGTGCCGTTTTAATCATGATTTTAATGTCGTAATACGGATAAGAGAGCAATAAAGAACTTGAGAGCAGCTTGATGGTAGGTTGGGTGATGAGCCCATTTATTTGTAGATCATCAGCATATATCAGCGGTAAAAGAAAACCCTGCAAATCAATCAGATGTGCCAAACATAAGTACAAGACAAGTATAGATTCTTAACAACATATAACTGATAGTATACAACAATGTGGGCGAACAGACAGTAAATTATCACACTGTTGGTGTACAGTATTACATAAACTGTGGCATTAACGTAGTCTACATCAATGATAATATAATAATTAAGACAATATCATTGTCTTTAATTAACACATATTATATGAAAGTGCATATTCAAAATGCATTAATAAACAACATTACACCAATTAAACAATGTATGTATTAAATCATAACGCATTATAATTCCTACCCAAGGTCTCTGAAGATACAAGCCGGAGCAGCTCCCGGCTCCCAAAAGACAACACAGTCCCAGCTAGACCACACCATGACAGCTTCCAGCAAACCTCGCTAGCATGTCATCTATAACAAATCACTAAAACATCCTCATAGTATACTAATAACATATTAAATAAAATAACCCACCAATTAAATTATCATACAAAGATTCAATGGGCGCCGCCATCTTTATCACAATATTAACATCATTCGCCCTCAACGGCGAAATCATTACAATCACTAATTCACGCACTAAATACAGGTAGGCGTTAACCACTAACCATTTAAATGACAATTTCTCTAAACATCATATAGAATAAATGTAATAACATTTATTTAAACGATCAATGTAATTTGATTAACTGGATTCCATATCCCTATGAAGACACACTATTCGGACTAACGGAAGTTGTCAAGTACAAAATCAAATACATTCCTCTTCCAAAATAATCCTTATTTTCCTCTCCTGAAGAACATAAAAACATTTCATAGACATGTATCAAAGCGTTCAATCTTTACTATCAAACTGACATTTTAAGAAAACAACTTAATTCTTTCAAAGGTGTAAAAAGAAACAAGGGCGCTGCACGCTAAATAGACGGCCCGACACACGCATAACCTCCTTCGCCCATGACAAGATACAATGTGTACCTACGTATCTGCTATGTCAGGCAGATTCCTGCGCCCACATATAAAGACCTATCAAAATTCTATAAACAAAATATCCTTCCTCTTTTTGCTATTCTTGTACAAACAGCTTTTCAATGAAGTAAAAATTAGTTTTTACACATTATATGCAATCTTATTCCTTTTTTACATAAACTCACAATATAAAAATTCTTCCTCAAGATAACAAAACAAACTTATAAATCGAGGAACTACATTTCATTCACCGTATTTTTAACAACAGTTTTATGCAAATTTGACAAAGTCATTTGCATAAGAAAAAACACGTATAAATCCAATTTCCTACATTAATGACATGTGGATATTCATTAGCAAGAGCCAGAAAAAATAGGAGTAGAAAGTGATGACAGTAGAATGGGTGAGGAGGAAAGTGAAATAAGAGGATTGAGACAAAGAATTAGTGAGTAGGAATAGATGCGTCTAAAATATAATATAACAATAATAATAATAAACGTTACTTGTATATAGCGCATATCACTCACACACACTCACGCACATAAAGTACAAATAAAGTACCTATCCGATTAGGACAAAAGGGAAACAGATATAGGACAGCATAGAAATGAACAATCATGCCTGATACATGAAAATAATTAATTACCAACCACAAGTGTGATTCATAATCCCTATATAGCAGACATGTTTTATATTGTACATTCAGGCAGTACAATTGTTTTAATAATGAAAATTAAAATAAATATGTACATGATACTATAACCAAAGAAATCACTAGAAGTCTTTTAATAACTCTGTTTGATTGCCTGTTTCATATGCATGAATTCTCGCAAAGTTATAGTACATAGTACATAATATCTACGAGACAACAAAGCGGTATATACATAATGAGTTATGATTAGTGCATATCAAACATAACAAGTATTGTGCTAATATTAGGAGAGAATTTAAGAAAACAATACGCGTATATCCTTTAAAAGAAAAACTTCAAACGACTGAGAAAAGGTACGATGTATTCAATTATAAGATGTGCCTATTCATGCATCTTAGCATTTACGTACCATAATGTTAGAAACAACAAATCTCATTTAAAGGCAGGGTACTTCACTGCCGTCTGCTGCTTAAAGGTATTCCAACGTGTCGACAGTCATGTTCCACAATGCAACACAGATGTATGCATACCCAGGAGCCGCGTGATGTTATTATAATTGGGAACAGGGACCAGAAATCGCTCTATGTACGCCCTCACCATACATTACAGCAGTGGTAGACCAAAATACACTGCCTTTAATTGTCTTTATTATATACAACGCCATGGCATAAGAAGATTTATGCTAGGAATCCTGAAATTGAATTACGGAACGTTTAGACAACAAACAGCCCTTGTAATATGACCCTCCCTTGGATCAACTTAACTGAAAGTAATTAACAAAGAACTTCTTATTTCGGGCTGTGAGCCATCCCCCCCCCCCCTCCCAAGATATAATATATATATTATTGACACATTCAATAATATTTAAGGTAATTCCAATGGCTTATTACGTCACCTTTTGAAATGTTTGAACATGACAATGGCGTATTTCGTAATCACAACATGATTTATATGGAACGTAATATTATAGATTATTGCAATTAACAATGAGTTGATTTTGTCGAGGCCCTTTTCCAAGATTTTTTTAATCAATAACATATTACAATGACTGTTACAAGTTTGATTGGTTGAGAGCAAATTAAGCAATTTAGCTTGACGACGGCACAGCTAGATTGTTTGACATTTACATCAGCAGAAACGGGTTAGTAGAGAACGAGGAGGCACAGGGAACCTATAAGGGGGTGAGGGGGGGGGTGGTGTCATTCTGTGAATAGAATGCGAACAAACAAGACCATCAATAAATGGGAGGGTCTATAAAGGGGTAGAGTCATCATATTTTTACTTTCTTCCCTTCTTTCTATTTATGTTCAGTTTCCTTTTCTCTGTAGCTAATAGATGGAGGGGGTTGAAGATTTGCAGAAAAGCTTTTATTGTAGAATTCTGATTTCTACGATATTCTGATTTCTACGATTTCTTCGAATGTCGGTGTACCGGTATTTCCCTTATAGGTTGACCTGACAAACAGTGTTAGGTTGAGGCTCATACGTACAAACGCGGTTGTTCATTAAACCGTTGTCCTTCCTCAGAACCGCACACGTGTGTGTATTACTGGTACTTGGTTTTTTTGGTGCCCAATCTATAAGAAAGCATACAATAAGGTGTTGCTACCCAGTAGGATACAGTAGTCATTCTATATGCTTAGCATTGTAATCGTATGTAAAATGGCACCTCCGTGAAATGTTCCCCGGGGAGTGGGAATGTGAATACTTTGTGAGCAATCCTGAATCTATTGACCGAGTGACAATATTTATTCTGTAAACAGAGATCATCATAATTGTTATCATCATCTTCCACATCATCAATTTCATCATAATCATTCATTATCGTCTTCAATATTATTATTATCATTGTTATCATGTTTATTATTATTATCGTCATTTCATTATTACTATTTGTATCATTGTTAGCATTATTCATGTTATTACTATCATTAATACTATTATTGTTATTATTATTATTATTATTATTATTATTATTATTATTATTATTATTATTATTATTATTATTATTATTCTATCATCATTAGCCATTCGTGGTAATCACATCGATATCATCCCACATTGAGCTGACATCAGCTTATTTATTATCAGAATATGTCCCTTGCACATAATGGGCAATATGATTGTGTTTTCCATTCGTTTTAAATATCGAAAACTATATATATAGCTGACAATCTAAAAAAGTGTAATTTAACTAGACAAAGAAAATGAATGTATCGAACTACATACACATTTTGATCCAAATCTTTTATGCTATCTCTATTTTTTTTTATATGAGAGCTTCAAGATGGCAATCCTTTTCAGGGGACACTCCTATAATTACCTCCAAAAAGGTCATTTAAAAGAAAACAAATGTGAAGAAAAATATTCTTCATCTTTACCAGAACTCAACGTGCTCTTTCTGCATAGCCCAGTGGTCTCGTAACCCGGAAATCATAGGTTCAAAACCAAGTCAATATTGTTGTTTGCTGTTGTTGTCCTGTGGTAAGGCATTTATCCTTATTACAAAATCCTTTAGTGGGAACTTGAAATCGCCAGTTCACTGGCTGCTTATTTAAGTGAGGTTTTAACCAGTCTTTACTTCAGAAAGGGATATTAAAGGTAAAAATTCTTTGTAGATTTTTTGTGGATTCGGTAAATATAAGATATAAACAATGTTTTAAGATTCGAGGCATATTTGTTTGTATAGGCTCTCGGGGTGATAGTATACAAATATTGACTGCTCATGAGGATGATGGTGGGAAATATCATCCCAAGGTGGTGTTTACACCGGCCCTTCTATCACCCCCGAGGCGAAGCCGAGGGGGTGATAGAAGGGCCGGTGTGAACACCACCGAGGGAGTGGTAGTTCCCACCATCATCCGATTACAGAGCAGTCCATATTTGTTTTATATACCTCATCCTTTTTATTGATTCATGATTAGGTCTAGCTGTAGGTCTAGATCTAGCTCTAAAAACAGGAAACGAGATCAAGAGGAATTTACTAAACCAAATAAGAAAAATCCAACATCAAGTCCAAGGCAAGACTATTGAATTCCTACGTGCTGCGCGTAACCGCGCGATCGCGGTAGCCTAGCAACTCAAAAAATTTGTGTACGCAACTAAGTCGCGGGAGGGGTTAGGGGTCCTATCCCAGGGTTTGATAGTAGCTATCAACCCCTCTGACGTAATGATACTTGATAGATCGAAATGCTTCTTGACATGTGATATAGTCTTGACCAATCAGTGAATGACAATCTATGTATGAGGTATATAATATACAAATATTGACTGCTCATGAGGATGATGGTGGGAATTATCACTCCCAAGGTGCTGCCCTTCTATCACCCCCGAGGCGAAGCCGAGGGGGTGATAGAGTGGCCGGTATGAACACCACCGAGGAAGTGATAATTTCCTCCACCATTCGATTACAGAGCAGTCCATATTTGTTGTATATTCCTCATCCATTCGAAAATAGACGTATTCATCAATAACTTCTACAATATCATCATCTAGGTCGATGTGAATTTTTCGAACTTTACTACGAGAAAATACAACAACTTTGGTTTTAGCTGCGTTGACATGAAGAGACCATTTTGAGCTAGAGCGCCCTAACAACGCGTGATTTGCGCGCTGGGGGAATCTTGTACGCTGTGTGTGTGTGTGAAAAAGTTGCGCACGGGTTAGCAGTTCTATCACAGGGTTTTGGAGTCTATCACAGGGTTTGATAGAACGACGCAATGATAGATCGAAATGCTCCTTGTCATGTGATATAGTCTTGACCAATCAGTGAATGACAATCTATGTATCAGGTATATAATAGGATGTAACGTCCCCTTGAGCTTTTAAAAACAACTATCCCTCTCATAGCAGTCATTATATCTATATTATTGCCTTCACATATGGAGCACTATTGCTTCAACTTGGTTCTAAACCGGCACCTCTCGGTTACGAGACCACTGCTGTAATATTGAACCATCGCGCCTCCTCGTTTACATATACATATAAATTATTTCTTAGCAGTCAGGTAAAACGAGCCATCAAAAAAGCAACAACTTACTTCGGTAGTCACTTTTGGTCCCTGCTCTGTCTGTGTAACACTTCCATGTATTGACATACTTGCAGTTTAACCAGCTCCTGGGTTCATTCAGGTGAGGCTTCAGCAAATCGTATTCTTCCACATTCTCTATGAAGAGCAGGGAAGGCTCAACCATTTCCCCGTTGCCCATGGTAACTGCATCCAGACCATTACAGTAGTCACGAGCAGTCGTCCAATCAGCGTCCGGGAGTGAGTTCACGATCAGGAAACACTTTGTGTGCCCATACACCCAACCGACTGGGCAGACTGTGATCGTAAAGTAGAAAAGCACGACAACAGTTAAACTCCCCATAGTCGGTTCAAAGAACGCTGTTTTTTATTCGTGCATTTTTGTCTATTTTATGCATTCTAGATGTCCCCAAAATATTGCCTTATTACACACATTGGTAACAATGAAAGGATTGTATAAGTTTCATATAAAGAAAGCATTTCTTTTGCTGTTTATCTCTTGTTTCGTATTGTCTTTTCCTGTTTTTAAGCAGTATGTATTTATTTGCTGTAACGTGATTTAAAACGTATTTTCAATCACTGACCTGTATAATCATTTTTTTTCTCGACCAACCGAACATTAGAAACTTTTTCCTTTTTATTTTGGCTGCTGAATTCTTCAGCATAATTTATTTATCTATAGCTACTGCTAGCTTGCTAGGTGGCTTGTCAGTTCCAAAGCAACAAAAAATGGCGATCAAGGCATTTTCTCCACTTCTGTCTCTTGTTTTTCGAAATGTGACGTTACCTCTGTTACCAGTCAGCCGATTGAATGTATCTATGTATTTGATGCGCATTCTCCCTCCGTCACTTTCCCTCAATTAGTCAGGCTCCTCTCCTGTTTGCTGTGCATTCTCATCTCATAATATGCCCCCAAAAATTAAGTTGTCTTTTTCGAATGAGGTTAAGAAGGGATCTATAGCACATGCCTTATTGAGGACTTCATCGTTTGATTTTCCTTGGAGTTGTTTCATTTCCCAAACCATGACAGGAAAATCTGTAATGTTGGACGACACTTTCATGACATATGCTTTTGAGTCCCATGCACACGTTTCTGTATCAAAGGTATGAGTACAGTACATGTGATTTTTGAGCAAGACCATGCCAACTCTTGTAATCCTTTAACACTATAAATACTCACAGTATACAACATTATTGTTATGCGAATCAACTCTTCCAGGTACATTCAGAGGATGTCAAAGTTAAATTAGCATGCAATGTCAAAGATCTACGTAAAAATGATCACACATACTTTCGAACACATTTCAATGGCCCTTTCCATCGGCTATTAAAATGTCCGAATTAAATTACGATCACGTCTTTTTTAATCCGAATATGACGTCCATGTGACATGTAATGAAGGCATTTAAATTACCCTTGAGCAGATTTCTCGAAAGTGTTTGCAAACTAGTTCACGGTAATAACATTTTCAAAATGAAAGGGACTACACCAAGGGGACCATAAGTGAGAGAGACCGAAATATTGTGTGAATCCTTTTAATAAATCTTCCAGAAAAACGTCCACAAAGCCGAAACACAGTAAAAAAAAAAAAAAAAAAAATATCAAAAAAGAAATAACAAAACCAATTCAAATCCACACACTCATACAAACACATTCTCGCACGCACATACCCACATACACTGAAACTGCAATCGCAATATTTACATGTTGGGAGATTATTCCACAGTTAGAGTCGAGTCCACGCAAAACAGAGAGCTTTCTAAATAACTTACCAAGCTGCTCGCAATGTATTCCGATGTATCCTCCGAGGCAGGAGCAGCTATACCCATCAAGCTCTTCAACGCAAGTCGCTCCGTTAAGACAAGGATGGGAGTAACATGCTTTAAGAAACAGAAATCATGTGTTCAGGGTCAAACAGCACAATACACACTGTTGGTTATAAAGTTGGAATACCTTGCTCTTTTGGTGAAGTGCCTGTGATAATAGGGTTTATTCTGGATAGTAAGCAAATAACTACCTTTGGTGAAGGTGATGGGACAAACTTTCACTTCCGAGGCGATCTGGATGTAGCTATCTTTCCGAAGCGAAGCTGAGGAAAGATAGCGTATACATTCTGATCGACGAGGAAGTGATAGTTTGCCATCGCCTGAAACCAAAAGGTGATTATTTGCTTTATATTCCACATCAAAAACAATTTAACTACAAAAAGAAAAGACACCAGGCCATAATCATTTTTTTTCTCGACCAACCGAACATTAGAAACTTTTTCCTTTTTATTTTGGCTGCTGAATTCTTCAGCATAATTTATTTATCTATAGCTACTGCTAGCTTGCTAGGTGGCTTGTCAGTTCCAAAGAAACAAAAAATGGCGATCAAGGCATTTTCTCCACATCTGTCTCCGGTTCTATGGAATGTGACGTTACCTCTGTTACCAGTCAGCCGATTGAATGTATCCATGTATTTGATGCGCTTTCTCCCTCCGTCACTTTCCCTCAATTAGTCAGGCTCCTATCCTGTTTGCTGTGCATTCTCATCTCATAATATGCCCCCAAAAAATTAAGTTGTCTTTTTCGAATGAGGTTAAGAAGGGATCTATAGCACATGCCTTATTGAGGACTTCATCGTTTGATTTTCCTTGGAGTTGTTTCATTTCCCAAACCATGACAGGAAAATCTGTAATGTTGGACGACACTTTCATGACATATGCTTTTGAGTCCCATGCACACGTTTCTGTATCAAAGGTATGAGTACAGTACATGTGATTTTTGAGCAAGACCATGCCAACTCTTGTAATCCTTTAACACTATAAATACTCACAGTATACAACATTATTGTTATGCGAATCAACTCTTCCAGGTACATTCAGAGGATGTCAAAGTTAAATTCGCATGCAATGTCAAAGGTCTACGTAAAAATGATCACACATACTTTCGAACACGACATTTCAATGGCCCTTTCCATCGGCTATTAAAATGTCCGAATTAAATTACGATCACGTCTTTTTTAATCCGAATATGACGTCCATGTGACATGTAATGAAGGCATTTAAATTACCCTTGAGCAGATTTCTCGAAAGTGTTTGCAAACTAGTTTACGGTAATAACATTTTCAAAATGAAAGGGACTACACCAAGGGGACCATAAGTGAGAGAGACCGAAATATTGTGTGAATCCTTTTAATAAATCTTCCAGAAAAACGTCCACAAAGCCGAAACACAGTAATAAAAAAATAACAAAATAACAAAAAAGAAATAACAAAACCAATTCAAATCCACACACTCATACACACACACATGCTCGCACACACACACCCACATACACTGAAACTGCAATCGCAATATTTACATGTTGGGAGATTATTCCACAGTTAGAGTCGAGTCCACGCAAAACAGAGAGCTTTCTAAATAACTTACCAAGCTGCTCGCAATGTATTCCGATGTATCCTCCGAGGCAGGAGCAGCTATACCCATCAAGCTCTTCAACGCAAGTCGCTCCGTTAAGACAAGGATGGGAGTAACATGCTTTAAGAAACAGAAATCATGTGTTCAGGGTCAAACAGCACAATACACACTGTTGGTTATAAAGTTGGAATACCTTGCTCTTTTGGTGAAGTGCCTGTGATAATAGGGTTTATTCTGGATAGTAAGCAAATAACTACCTTTGGTGAAGGTGATGGGACAAACTTTCACTTCCGAGGCGATCTGGATGTAGCTATCTTTCCGAAGCGAAGCTGAGGAAAGATAGCGTATACATTCTGATCGACGAGGAAGTGATAGTTTGCCATCGCCTGAAACCAAAAGGTGATTATTTGCTTTATATTCCACATCAAAAACAATTTAACTACAAAAAGAAAAGACACCAGGCCCAAATTCACACCAAAAAAGTTTAACCCAACCCCTTGAGGGTACAGTGTGCGTATGTGTTTGCTTGTAATAATTATTGCGCTCATTGGTAATGCTCGCTTAATTACGCCTGTTTAAGTGCGCTTTTGGATAATCTTCAGTGAAAGTGCGTTGCCCTGTGTAGATAGTAGTACTATCTACATAGTGACACGAACTGTTTGCTTCTCCCATCAATAATGGGCGAACTATCTTTCATTACGTGATTTACTTTTGACAAATCGTAGAGCAAGATTCTTAATATGTGGAATATAAATAAGTTTATATAATTTCAGTACTTTAATTAACTAATTACTATGAACTTTTGTATTGATCGATGAAGTACTGAAAATATATTAACTTTTGTTGATAAAGAATAAACCACATTCAAACAATTCTTTAAATAAAAGAGGTAAAATAACAAAAAGTATTCGTACCTAATGGGCAACAAACAATATTACACTTGCTCGTAAATCTAAACTGTACAACCATCGGCGTAGATACGGAGGGGGCACTTGCCGCCCCCAACAAATGGCCACAAATAGAGGTGAGAGCGAGGGGAGAGATGAGATAATATAGAAACAAAGATTGTTCGAAACTCTTTTTAAAAGTTTTAATATTATATAAATTAGTAATTTGTGGCGCCAAAATATCACTTATTAAATATTCTATTTGTATATCTAAATGAAATTTGTAGCACAAAAAAGGGCTTTTACTAAACACGGCACGCTGGAAAACACTTGGGTCGCGGCTCGCTGGGCCAATTTTGTTGTAATGGTGTCTTCAAACCGGCTTTATAAGGGAGAACATTTTTGAAAGAATAGATTTGAGATTATCGACACTATTTTTTCCACTCTTTTCTTTTTCTCTTTATCACTGTTAAATCTGGCCAAGGAATCATTTCAATTCCTTTCTATTGATACATTTTCCTTTGTATTCCTTTCTTGGTAGTTCTTAATTTCCTACAATTCATCTTCTCACTCTTTCCTTTCTTCCTTGTTTCCATCCTATTAATAGGCCTATCATATTCCCTTGTAGAATCACCTAAATTTCCTAAAATCCACTGTATCCACATAGTATGTTGTCTTTCCTAATGTCAGCCTTAATTCTTGTCTTCTTATTTTTCTATTATTACAAAAACAATCGCAACTTCCAATTGATATTTTAAATAAATTTCCCCACGCAACCCAATTGAAAAAACAGTCGCTAATTTAATATAACATTTTCCCACCGTGTAGGATCGATTTGAAGACACCATAAAACCAAAAAATAGCCTAGCGAGCCGTGACCCGAGTATTTAGTAAAAGCCCCAAAAGGTATCTTTTCCCCAATCGTTCGCTTCACTTCTCGTAAAATTCATGAATCAAAATGATTCTTGACAAAAAAAAGATAAAATATTATTGTACATTTAATGTCGAATATAATGATGACTAAGTTACATTTTTGCAATAGTAAAAGTGCATTTTTGTTTACTCGCTCGCTTTGCTCCCTTATAGGATCCGGATAGTATTTAGGGGGGGGGGGGTAAGAGGCCTTCACACCTCTCACGTGAAAACGTGTCCATACATCCATGTGTACAAGGGATGGACAAAATTATCGTTAATGAATATGGATTGGGGTGACGAGAAGCGATTTAACTAATAAAAGGGAGCTGTGACTTAAAGATAGGGTTTGAAGAAAAATATCTGGTGTACTAATGAGTGATCCCCCCCCCCCTTCCCCCATGGCGGTGCCCACGCTACGCCACTGTGTACACAGATGTCATCATCAACAACAACAACATCAACAAAAATAAAAAATTGTCATATATCCAGGACCATTTTTTCACTAAGGTCTTGACGGACTTGACAGTATTTAATAACAAATTATATTTAAAAGTGAAAGAAAGAAAGTGCGGGGGTGGGAGGGAAGGGTGATTGATTGAGTGATAGAGAGAGTGACAATGATGGAGGTACCAGGAGGGAGGGAGGGAGAGAAGGGAAGAGATGGAATTGTTAATGTGTCGTACCTGGATGAGCGCAGTACAAGTTCATTTTGTCCCTCGCTTCTTTTGGTGTTCTGGCGTCATATTCAGGGTGATCACGTGTTAGATACTTGGGAACAAACTTGACCGATTCCCCAGTATATTCGGAGATACCATAAGGACAGATGTCCATGGGTATCTCAGGGCAAGTACCGTCACCTAAAATGCCTGTTTATTTAGCGTATGATAAAGGGTAGGAAGAAGATTGAGAAGAAAAAGGAAGAAAAATAAAGCAGGAAAAAAAAATGGTAGAAGAAGAAGAAGCAGTAGCAGAAGACTTGGAGAAGGAGAGAAAGAAGAAATAAAAAAGAAGAAAGAGTAGAAGAACAAGATGTACAAATATAATAAAAGGAACAAATAGGAGGAGAAAATAAGGACAAAATAGATACAAATAATCATTATACGTATTTGTTTCTGTTTACTTTTTTATATTTTGCCACTCAATACGCTTCAATGTATTATACTACTACTAATAAAACAAAAGCACACACACAAAATAGTGTAAGACATTGAATCTAAATTGCTTCCTAGTAGCGATGTGTGAAAATAAGAGAAGGAGAAGAAAAATAATAAGAAGAAGGAGAATAAAATATGGTACATGTTTGTGTAAATTATGACGTAAGGGTGACAAAAAACGATGCTTTCACTTGTTCGATGAAAATCAATGAGTTTGCAATTACTATAATGAATGTTATGGATTTATTTCAATTGGCATTGACAGGTGATGAATTAAATAAGATTTAATGAAATATGAAGAGTACAACGCGAGCAATGAGGTAAAATTTTAATAATTTTCGGTTGCAATCTCTCTAAATACAAAAGATCGCACTGATTTTGAAAAATGAATGAGGAGCTAGCTACGTAACAGAAGCGTAGCAATCGTTTGAAGAGGGATGAAACTGTATTGAATAGTGATATAAAAACGATGGGGGAGAGAGAAAGGAAGAGATGAGGTGATCCAATTCTGTGTTCAGTGTTGTTTACTACATGCGCTTTTCAGCAAGGTGTATTAGTTTGGATGATTTCAAACCCTCAAAACAAGTCCGGTTCTGGAATTTTAGTTGTTCTGTTGCTGCCTCAAAACGCACAATTTGTTGAATTCATACTCATATTTTGTTGTAATACCTATATTTATTTTGGGTGTCAATCTCCGGGGATGCTCAAGGCGCCTACAGAGTTCTATTATTACCCTGTCTCTACCACAGCTGCCCTAAGGCACTCAAGGAATTCAAGAAATCGATTCCTACCAGGTACCTGTTTACTATACACCTGGGTTGAAGAGTGCTAACTATAGATAACTGTGTTTCTGAAACACATTAGTGCAGCAGCGGGACTCGGACCGCGAACCATGTGATCCTCTAGACGATTCCAGACCACGGCACCTCTCATTACCCCTCTATTGATTCTTTCACGTCACGTGTTGAATACTGTGGAACAAACTTGACTGATTCCCCAGTATACTTAGAGGTTCCTTAATTTAAGTGCAGATATCTCGTGGTAGGCCTACTCTAGAACATGTTCCACTACCGAAGACACCTGTTTGTTTAGCGTCAAATAAAGAAGGGGAAGAAGCATAATAGGCAGAAAAAATAGGAACAATGAGAAGGAGAATGTAGTAGTGGTAGAAGTAGTAGTAGTAGTAGAAGAAGAATAAGTAGTAGAAGTTTAAGAAGAAGAAGAGAAGAAAATGGATGATGGTAACGTTTTCTATCGTTAGGCGCTTAAATTCTTTAATACATGATGAAAAGAAGCGACAAAATCCACGTTTTTGTCATAAATAAGAAGTTTCTAGACAACCAATTTTGATATCAGAATCCCTTGTATATTCAGATGCATTCGTGCTCTCATTGGAATGAAACACGTTTACGGTAGTTCTTAAGCGGAAATGCGCGCCGTTGTACGCTCATTGCGCTAGATGACAAGCGCATGTAGATCAACTATCGACCTTTCAATGCGTGTCATTTTAATTGACTCAGCACGCTCCTAACCATTATGAGCCATAGCATATAACACTGAGTTCCTATAGGAAATATATTTATTCAGATGGTCATATCTCAGCCAATACTTAAATAACATATTCAATTGGTTTTCGACGTTTGGATATTATTTTTTAATGCTCTTTTGGAAAATGAAAAACAAATAGATAGATTGTTGATGACGTCACACTTCACCACTCTATAGTGCCATTTACGGGATGTTCGGTATTAAAGATAAAGGTGAGTTCTCGTCATGCGATTGCTTTGTGAAAGACAAGATGTGGAATGGATCACAAAAAATGATCATCTAGCATATAAGTATTGGTGTGTACTGCAAGGTTCTGGAGTCATCTAAATCATAATAAATTTGGCCCAGTTTTGGTAAAGTAACAAGCACTGTACACAGAAAGATGTATATATGGGACTACACAAATGGTGTCAGGGCTAGCTTACCTTGATTTCCATATCTTTCTTTGCTCAATACTCAGCCAGTATACATTTTCTTCCAATTTTTTTTGGCACAAGATATTATTTGTAATCTTGAACATTCAGTGTAAGTTTCGTTTGTTTTTGTGAGAATTAATTTCCCTTTTTTTTTTTTTTACCAGAACTCAAGTTTATCTTTATGAGGTGTCATGTATTAGGTCAAGTGACCAATATCACACAACTAGAATACCTATGACTTTAAAAAAAAAATCTTATTAATATTACCTCCACTGAAATGGAGTTAACCATCAGCTTTGCTAAGTCATAATTTTAGGTTAAATATTTTTTTTTTTCTCTCGTGTATTAGGCCTACATGATTTAATGAATGTATACTAGTAGTTGGCAAGTAAAATCTATTATAAGACGGTTTCAAAAATGTAGCCAATGGAAAATCTGTTTCCAAGTCACGTGTTTATACTTTTTTTCCTCCCATTGTACCTTGCTATAGCTACGCAAGTTTTGTGCAGCACTATGTAAGCTCCGTGCACCGCTCTTGATCCACGGATCTCGATGCATTTAAAGTTTAGACGCGATGTGATGCAAAGGTACACAAATTCATACGGCATAATGATGGATGCGTACACCGAGACGCGCATTATTGTTTTTGGCTCGGGCCACCAAAGCTCCGCCATGTTTACTTTATTTGTCCATGGTTTGGCTGTGCGCACGTGCATTGTATGATGTAATATCATCCAATAAAGCAAATGGCGGCCACTATGATTGTATGACCCTTGGCTTTTTGATTGGGTTTTTAGTCAATTTCTCGACTTATGTATACCAATATTGTAAATCTACGTGTTTTAGCTCGTGCATTGGTGATATGCACTGTACTTGGTAAGGTCACAATGAGACGGAAAATGAACTCGAAAAGTCTCGTTCATTATCCTATTGTGACTTAATCTGCGTGCAGGGCATATTCACTAATGCACTCGCAAACCTGAATAATGTTTAAATCAAACGACCAATCATTCAATCAATAACTGCAATGAATTAAATTGATATCGAGTGAATCCTAAATATTTAAAGTCAATAACTCACCCTTTAACTGTTGGCTGAGTACGAAGAGTGACACGATTGTGAGCTTGAAATACTGTTTGAAGAGAGTGAACAATTTTTAATAAATGATAGAGTATACAAAGCAGGTGTTTTTATTTCATAGACAATTATGATCTGTATACTATATACGAGGTAGTAGAGTTTTGTAGTAGTAGTAGCATATGTAGAGAGTGAAGTAGTAGTAGTAGTAGTAGTAATAGTAGTAGGGGAAGTAGTAATATAAGTAGTAGTATTAGTAGTACTAGTAGTAGAAGTAACAATAGTAAGAGTAGTAATAGAAGTAGTAATACAAGTTGTAGTAGAAGAGGTAGTAGAAGTAGTATTAGAAGTAGTAGTAGTAATAGAAATAGTAGTATAAGTATAAGTATAAGTAGTAGTAGTAGTAGTAGTAGTAGTAGTAATATAAGTAGTAGTAGTAGTAGTAGTAGTAGTAGTAGTAATAGAAGTAGTAGTAGAAGTATCAGTAGAAGTAGTAGTATAAGTAGTCGTATAAATAGAAGTAGTATTAGTAGTATTAGTAATATAAGTATTAGGAGAATAAGTAGAAGTAGTAGTATAAGTAGTCGTATAAGTAGAAGTAGTAGTACTAATAGTAGTAGTAACAATAGTAAGAGTAGTAATAGAAGTAGTAATACAAGTAGTAGTAGTAGTAGTAGTAGTAGTAGTAGTAGTAGTAGTAGTAATATAAGTAGTAGTAGGAGAAGTAGTAGTAATAGAAGTAGTAGTAGAAGTATAAGTAGAAGTAATAGTAGTAGTAGTAGTAGTAGTAATAATATAAGTAGTAGTAGTATTAGTAGTACTAGTATAAGTAGTAGTAGTAGTAGTAGTAGTAGTAGTAGTAATATAAGTAGTAGTAGTAGTATAAGTAGAAGTAGAAGTAGTAGTAGTAATAGAAGTAGTCGTATAAGTAGAAGTAGTCGTATAAGTAGAAGTAGTAGTAGTAATATAAGTAGTAGTAGTATAAGTTTAAGTATAAGAAGTAATAGTAGCAGTAGTAATAGAAGTAGTAGTATAATTATAAGTAGTAATATTAGTAGTAGTAGTAGAAGAAGTAGTAGTAGTAAAGGTAGAAGTAGTAGTAGTAGAACATTTACGTGTTTGAATATAAATAACTATTGACCGGTATTCCGCATTACAGTATGCCAATAACAAGTTTGACGTCCTACTGGTCAAGTTGTGAAGGTTGCTGGTTCCAGAACATTTTGTGCTAACTGCTAAACATTGTCGTGTAGCTCACACCCGCCACAAACACTGGATTTGCCCTTCTCCAGCCCGTTGCTCGAGTGATTTCGAGATGAACCTTATAAGCAGCCGCTGTTGTTTGAAACCAGTAACATGGACGACAATGAATATGACGTTAGCATTGCGGTACTCTATTGACTTGACTTCCCGTCTTAACAAAAAGTGATATAAAAGACAGCAGATACATACCATTTTTGTCTCACACTCATGGACCTCCGTGCTAAAATGAATAGACTAATGTTTTGGATACAAACGCTATAGAAACGAACTCTATGGCAACAAGCATATTGCCATCTCAGTATGTTGTGGAGCCAGCTTTCCTGTTGGCTGGGCGGGGCAGGGGGGGGGGGAGGGAGTGGAAGAGAGCTTCGAA